GATAACAAAATGCTGCTTCACGAAAGAAATGAAAAGTACTGTATGATTTTCCTTTCTGTTTTGAGCTCCAACTGGGGGAGATCCCATAGTACGGGTATGGGGTGGAAAGGCCATGCCCAGCAACCCCCCACCCCCCGCTCGTCACTATGCTACCATAATAATACTGGACTACCCCAATGGATCCTGGAATAACTGCGTCATTGTTATTTTAGGGGCAATAGGAACTTGCCCCCCCAATACTTTTTAAAAGTCGGCGCCTATGCCCTGCACCGCGTATTCATCGATGCGTGTTTTTAAATCGCCAGGACGACACGACACTTTGGATTTTTTTTAAATCATCCGGCCGTCGAGAGGATGCTTTCTCTTTGATCGAGGAAGTCGCTCGAATGCCAATGTCGAAACGCACCCGTTCTTCGGGGCGACGAAAAATACGCGAGGATAAGGAACCAACGATGGAAAGAGGCGTCGAGAGAATGGTGTTATGCAAGAAAGTTTAATCAGTTTTACGATGGGCAAAAAAAACTTCTCTTGACCGTGAAAACCGGGATTCGAACTCGGAACCATAGGTGCCACAACCGCGGTCTTTCGGAATGTGATGTTCCACACCTTCCGAGCGGCTATGCTATGAGAACGATCCGTATCCTCCGCACCTCGGACCCCATCGTGGTCGTGTTGGCCACGTGACGGCTCTGTTGGAAATCCCGGTTTCCAGTCGCCTACGACTCCGACTCCCTCACATGGCAAACACAGCATTCACCGAGATCCGTGTTTCCTCGGCCTCCATCGTCCATCCGACCGAATCGGCGCATACGGTCGAATGGAGATTCCTATAGGCATCTCGTACGGGTTTTTCTAAATTCAGATCGTAAACGAAAACGATACGAGCATACCTCGGTCGACACGGAAGTCCATACGGTGAACATGATAGGGAAGTTAAAGGTGGGCAAGGCGACCGGCCCCGATGGGATTCCTGCGAGAGTCATCAAGGAAACCGCGAGAGAAATATCGGTTCCGCTAAGAATTATATTCGAAAGCAGCTTTTCGCGCGGGGAAGTACTAAGGACTGGAGACTAGCAAACGTCGTACCGATCTTTAAGAAGGGCGAAAAGAGTAATCCAGGAAATTACAGGCCGGTAAGTCTCACGAGTATCCCAGGGAAGACCATGGAGAGCATACTAAGGGACCATCTCTTGGATTTCCTCGAAGGAAACGCGCTCATTCGGGACTCAACACGGCTTTAGGAGGCGTCGAAATTGTCTCACCAATTTGCTCGAATTCTACGACTGGGCGACGGAAGAGAGGGATAAAGGGAATCCCGTGGACATCGTCTATTTAGATTTCGCGAAAGCTTTCGATACCGTTCCTCACAAGAGGTTGCGGGTTAAACTGGAGGCGCACGGGATNACAAAAATATTTAGCTTTAAGAGGGTTAGGCCTACCCTAAAATTAAGGAACGCTCGACCTCGACACGTGATATCGAAATGGGCGAAATCGCCTCTTGATATCACTAAGTACAGTATCCTGAATCCTGAATACGGTGGCAAACTTGCGAGTTTCACATCGCTGCAACATCAGCGAGCCGTTTTCAGGAAATGGATCGGCTTCCAATTTCGTAACCCTTGGAGACTTTCTAGGAATTCCATACGGTAGCAGGGATTCCAATTTGAGCTCGTACACGAGGATGGACCGGTGAACACCTGTCAAATGTAACGAAACATCGAGCCGATGGACCCGGTATTCAAAAGCACGTCTCACCAAATACACGAGGGCAAGATGAAGAACCCATGACACTCAAAAAGGTGAAAACTAGCTTTATTCCATCCGATATAAAAACAGCAACAGCAAAAAAATAATGGAATCGACTGGGGAAAAGCCCTGATAACATATATTCTTAAAGGAATGCGATGGGACGTATGGCACCACGGAGTCCAAATAGAGTCTATTTTCAAACGAGGAGATCGCGAGTTTCACTCGTCGATCGCGTAGACTTTGTAGTAAGGGTAACAAAGGAAGTTGGACGTTGGCACAGAATGGAACGAGGCACGTAGGCTCCGACATCGTACACATTCTCGGGATCAACTCCCTCTTTTATACATCAGTGCGGTGTCAGGGTAGGTGGGGAATCCTACTCGGAATCCGAAAGAGCTGCGTGTGGAACGAAACGTAACCCACGCCTGTTCGAATGCTAAATTCGGTTTCCTCGAGGATAATCTACTTCTCCCTCGAGAGAATAGACACATTCCAATTCGATTACTTTTAGTCCCGCACACAAGACATCCGACGTATGTCTTTGTTTATCCTCAGGATCCAAGGATATACTACGGACGTACGCCGGATATGTTGTGTTACTTGGGCATGCCCGTCATAGTATGGGCAAATCTAGTAGGCATTGAAATCGCTGGGGATGAAAGTTTGAATTAATCCCACTCCCCTCTTGCACTAGGAACATTCCCATTGAGAAAACCTGCCTCGCAGCAAGCTTCCGTCATTTTCCGTATGTAGCCAAGGCCAACCTGTTGAGGACTAGGTTTTTTGGCCATTGCAGTACCCCAGGGCCTGAGTTTTTTTTTTCAAAAAAATGCAAATTTGATGTATGAGCAATATTAATGAATATATGCACTAATAAATATCCATTGAACTTCCTTAAAGCCCCAGAATTGATCCATTTAAAATTTAAATACCTCATATGAGGCACGTAGTCCCCGCGCGCAAGACTACGTTCGGGCCTCATATGAGGCACGTCGCCCTCAACAGGTTAAATACCTCATCTACCCGTACTATGATGGGCATGAGACCAAAAGTGTTCATGTCAAGATGAACTCAGGCAAAGAGGATTAATGTATGAAAGAGGGTGAATGGCGCAGAGAATTGCACTTATACTCAAGTCTTTCACACTGAATCTAATTATTTCCAATCCCATGCGTTTTTCAATAGTAGAGATCAACTGCATCATGAGAAAGTTTTTCCACCATGCACATGATGTACTCTTCCACAGGCAGAAATACTTAATCTGTCTTAAATAAAAAGTTATCGTATGGACTCGTAAGAAAAATCTACAAGAATAAAGCATCCCCTCTTTTGAGTAGGTGAGTCTCTAATGTTTTTCAAACAAGTATCAAGAGTTTCAAAACTTCTCTGATTCCTGTTTGGTACCTACTCAGTTGAAAAGGCAGCCTCAACTGCCAAACAGGACTAGATGACTTCTACACTGGTGAAGAAGCAGCCTTAATATTTCCATAGACTGTTCAAAATTGAATAAAAAATAGGCAATATATTCAGCTGCCTTCTGTACCCAGCAGTTCCCTGTGACACTTTTTGCAAGGCAATATTAATTCAATACTGGAAAATGGAATGGAGAAGTAAAGGTAGAGGATTTGTGACTGATCATCATTCAGCATAAATGTATGAATAAAACAACTTCATTAAAAATCTGTCCAAAAAAAATTATAATAGTAATTGGATTCACCTGTCTCCTATTTAGATTTTTGATCCCATTGCATGCCAATAAGAGCCTTTTCATAGAACACCATAGTTTTCCATAAATTTTTTGAGTAGAATGGAGAGCTGGCTCTGATGGCTGCCTAATTGGAACAAGTATTTTGAGGATGAAAGATTCCTTGAAGATATATAAAGAATTCCATGTGACTATTAAGGGAGATAGTTGATGCTACAAACTGTCATATCTAACCCTCCCTCCTGGTCCTGTTCGCCACTGGGTTGGAGCATGAGAGGTTTTCCTTGGCAAGTTCGTGATGCATGCAATCCATTCACCATAGTAGATCGATTTGCTGAAGTCTCTCTTGCATCTCGTGCTCCCATGGTGTCCTAGGTGAAAATTTTGTCCTGACCACAACATACAGAAAGCTGAGAATCCAGAGGTCACAGTATCACCTTCATCATCACGATCACAATACAAACGGGACTTCTCGTCTCATCACACACCTTTCACTCTTGTCCTATAATAAACAATAATTTATCATTGTATAAAACCACTCAACAAGAAGTGGGTTCAAAACCTAAGGCCTATAACTATTTCATTCCATGCATTATAGAGCATAGAGAAGATATTAAATTTTGCAGCCATTGCATCACAATGTACATTATAACTTGATAATAATGAAACCTCAGTTACAGTGAAGAATATTGCCTGGTCTTAGCCTAATGCCCATGAGATTTATACTGCTTCTGGTGAGCATGATGACTGGCAAAACCTCTGTTATAGTGGGGGCATTGAATTGTGACCCAAGTCATGACTTGAGGGTCTCAGTTCAATGCTTGCATTGAGGCTTCAAAATAAATTTTACCCCATGGTGTCTCTTTGTCAATGTCATCAATCCTGGGTATAATAGTTTTTGAAAAGCACTGCACCTGTCGAGAATCATGAACCTCGAGTCACAACTGAATGCACCCAGTAAAATCAGTTTTTGTGGACTTGCCCGTAAAAAGCTGCTTCTTGCCTTCTTGGCTTCTTCCTCCACACACTATCAAATTTGCCCACTACCTTAGCAGCAGGCAGGGGCAGGAAAAAAAGCTGAAACTCAAGACCATTAACATTAACAATGAACCCATGTATGCATGTGATAGTCTATGCTGATATCTTACATGATCATCCATCTGTAGCCAAATTAAGTTGGGAACCTATTTTTTGGGACACTTATGGGTATACATTTAGGAGAGCCATCATGGTGAAGGCTCACTTTCATAGACAGTGGGCTTCTGCTACAGTATAAATAGTATCCTTCTCAAAATATGGCTTCACTCATTGGAAATTATTTTTTCCTCAAGGGAATACCTTCCATGTCGTTGAGCTGCTGGACCAAGAATAACCTGTGGCTTCACTCATCTTAATGTAGTAAAAATGGGCTCTGTTCTCCTTGTCAAACAATGGTCATTATCCCAAATGGATGCCAAGAGAAACTTTACACAGACAACTTGATAGAAAGGTACAGAGAATGCATTATCATTCTTGCATTCCTTTTTAACCTGTACCTGACTTACCTGTACCTGAAAAGCCCCAAAGAATAAAGAAAAAACAAAACAGTAATAGTGAGCACACACCATAGTTGGTTATCACCATGGGAGTGGAGATACATAAAATACAATGAATTTTCCAGAACTGAGATATCCTTACACTGTGTGCTAGCAGGCTGAGCACCTAGAAGACTGGGGCTTATTCCCAGAGTCCACAGGAGAGAGGGCTATTCGGTCAGGTGAATCTGGCTCCAGCATGGTCCAAATGTTTATTGCCTGGACCTGCAACAAATGGTGCAAGGACATTAGAACAATAATCAGTATTAGACTCTTGGCAGATCAAGAGGGACAAGATGAGGGAAACACTTACTCCAAGCTGAGATTTCAAGCCATGTTCATCAATGTGGCAATTAATGTGAGAAAGGATACAAATTGTTATGACTTTGTAAACCATTGGCATGGAGAATCAAAACCTAACATCAATGGGGTCCCATGAAAAGAAAAGGTTCATTGCTCTCCCATGGGACGACTCCAAAAATTTTCCAGATTTCATTTCTTTATCACATGAAAAACAAGTTTGGCAAGCCCAGACTAGTAGTGGGCCTCCTTTCAGTTAAGGAAACCCTCATTTTGTCACCTAATTGAACAAAATGCCATCTTTTTCTGGTCTTCAACCATCAAAAACCTAATTTCTCATTTATATTTGGTAAACAGACAAATGGTGCCCATGAAACAGTGATGGGAGGATGGAGGGCTGTGCATGGTTGGATCCATCCACCACGAAGGTTGGTAGGGAATTGACAGCTCTAGTTGCTGACATGGCACAGCACCAAAAGCCTGGGTTGTACATGCATGCACATTGTGGTCCAGAACCTGAAGGACTCACTCATGCCTTCCCCTCCATGACCAAATTTCAAATCCAAAATTTGCAATGAAAATGCCAATTTTGGTGCAAATTCGTCACAAAACAAACTCAGCCTGTATTTTGTTCATATCTATCCACTTGCCAATTTTCACTTTGTTCATGCCAATATTTTTTTAATTATCATCAGACAACCAAAGTGTGACACATGGTTTGATACAGGACCATAAGTGTTCTCTTTCCTTCCCAGAAAGGAGGCCCACTAAAAAGAGCACAAAAAAAGGCTGATATCCCTCCCTGTCTGGGCAAGAAACAATGCCATGAACATTCTGGCCTTTCTCCTATATGATCAAAGCTCTGGTCCAAGTCTCTTGCCCCAATGGACCTAAAATCTATAAATTGTGATGCATGAGAAATGATTTCTCACAGAAGTATCAAACCAATCTTGTTGAGAAAAGATCTGAACGTGCGTCATTCCTCTCAGCTACCAGAAGCATTACAGGCGCTAGTGCTTCTGCATGTGTGTATACACGTACTGTGTATACACGAATACACGGCTTCAGCTCTGGTCTGTGTCATAACACCAGGTACTGAACACACTGAACAATATTTAGTTGAGTCACAATTAATGCAAGTAAATAACAAAGTAGCTGTATAGCAGCTACTTTGTTATTTGGTGGATGGCATAAGTGTTTACTGTCATGAAGCAAGTGTTGCTTTTTCATGAACTAAGAAATGCACATGAACATAGAGGAAGGACTGATTTTGCCACTACTAACTGAGGCAATTAGTAGTGGCAAAGGAATCGTAACATCTCCCATCATCATCTCCAACAGGCTGCGCTCATGCTCAGACTATTGCCTCCAAAGATGTACGACCAAGGTCTTTCCAATTTATAGGTTTCCATTTGAATCAATTATTTCATTCACTAAATTCACAGGTCAGGTCTGACAATGTGTTTCACTCAGTTTAAATTTACCATTCTCAAAAGGAACATTTGAAGAGTTCCTAGATTTTTCACAAAATCTTGCCTTGCAATGCAAGGTTGCATGATGGCTTTCTCTCATTACTTCTTTATAGATTAGCAATAAAAAAGTAATCCTTAACATGGAATTCACCACTTATATGGATTCCCCCCCCCCAGATATAAATTTGGCACTATGGCAGATAACAAAATCAATCAAGAAGCAGTGACTGAATTTTGGTGAAGGGAGGGAAATCATCAAAGGTTTATGAACTGCTGATTAAGGTGTACAACAGGTGTGAGGAAGTCACCAATTAGGAGCTGAGAGACAGGCTCTGGATGATGCAGGAGAAGCTACAACTCAAGTGATGACCAAGAAAGATTGCAAATGACCAAGAGTTTGTCAACCTGAAGATCACTGTTATTGAATTGTCCAAGATGACAGCTGCAGATTCAACAACAGTGACCCCCTTCAGTTCACCAACACATGCTGCTTCAGGACATTGAAATACCACTATTCAACTTCATTCATGAACCTTACCTGGTTTCTTTCCTTTTTTTTTTTTTAATCTTTTTAAAATCTTTTTTTTTTTTTTTTTTTTTTTTCCATCATGGTGCTTATATCTTGCAATCTGCCAAGCTGCTTTATGTTTATTGAACAAAAAATCCATATAATTAATGGAACAAGATGGAAAATTACTCTCATACGAGTTGGACTTTTGCTTCTGGCAACCCAGCAACCAGGTAGCCATTGAAGGTTCCCAGGGGCTTGGCCATTGTACCCTATCACCTGTCTTTCTGTCTCTGTGTAGTGTCTGAGCATCCTGTCTGACTGCTATGTCAGACAGGAGAGAGCCATATGCCAAGGACATATGGCTCTCTCCTGTCTCTCCTAGGATATATGCCATAGACATATGCCTAGGAGAGATGACATTGTTATTGATCTGTTAGATCTAAGTATTTATGGTATATTAAACTCAACCTTAGGAGCGTTTATTATTATTAACCCTTTCTCAGTTAAGAAAAAACTTTTTTTTCCCCTCCTTTCCCAACCCCCAAGGCGAGGCAAGAGAAAAAAAAAAGGTTTTCCTTAACTAAGACAGGGTTAATATTATTCTACTTCTAAACTTTAAAGGTGATGGACAACAGCCAACTGTGGTTGCTGCTCCTTTTTGGCCCCTAATCTCAGGAGTCAGGAGTCAGGAGAGTTAGTGATATCAAGAGACGATTTCGCCCATTTTGATATCACGTGTCGAGTTGTATTGGTTGGACTTTTTTTTTATTTCCCTCCCTTTTCATCATCATCATCCTCATCCAGCTGTAATTCCTTTAGGCCTGTCATTGTCCTTGTTACTATTATTGTTATTATTACCATTACTGTTATTGTTTCCAATGCCCAAAGCACAGACCACTGACAAAATTGAGCAGACACTTGTTACAACCACTACCACTACCACATTCAGTACAAGTGCACCTAGCACACATCACCACCACCCTACATATGTGTTCTCCTCCATACTAATTGAACTCTAAGTTGGCATCATACTTAGATCAGTACACAAAGGTCACAGATGCCAATGGGTGGAATGAGGTACAAAGAAGGAACTATCTTACCCTATGCTTTCCAGAGAGATCAGCATTCCAGACAGTCTGAATGCTACTTTATCATTTGATGACCTGAAAGCCAAACTGAAGGGTATCTTCACCTCTCATGAAAACTACACAAGGTTTTCAAAGTACGAGTCTAGAATTTTCTGAGATGGCGAGAAAGTGGGGGAATATGAGATGACTCTCCAACATTTATACCAAACAGTTGTTGGTCCTAATCCAGAGGGAGACAAACAGTACTTCAGAAAGTTTATCTCTGGTCTTCCAACTCAATGGAGAAGCAAGATAAATGAACACCTCTATGAGGATCTGGCACAGGCACTAGCACATGCTCAATGGCTAGAGGCTGCAGAAGCTTGTCAGTATGCTTATCCAAAGCCTTTTGTATAACCCATCTGTGCTTGGAGCTGCAGCAGCTACTTGGGCTGCACTAGCTCCTCTCCCACCAACTACCTTTTCACCCATAGTAGGCAGTGGAGTTCAAGGAAGTAGCTCAGTTGCACCTTCTGCAGAAAGACATGTTAAAATCAGGTCAACACTCATGTCATCACTGTTCAAGCTCCAGTTCTAGCTCTGATAGACGTTCACACAGAAGCAGACAGAGGTCACTACTTATCCAGACCTAAGTAAAGTACTGATCAAACGATATGAAACTAACAGCATCCCTTCATTGTGTAGGGCACAATGGAAGTTTTTAAATTTAGGAACTTTTCAAAAGTGAAAACATTTTTCAATGTTTTCACTTCAATTTGCAACAGAGGAAGGCAAGTGACTCAGTTTTAATTTTCCAGTTTTCCACATTAATATGTGGTAATTTCAAATCAAGGTGTCACAGCTCACTAAAACAGTAAAGGATGAAAGGGATCCATTTTATACTGGTTCATCACAGTCAGACTGCAGCAAGGTGCTTGGAAAATTCAACTGTAGAAAGAATAAATCTTTCACTTTCTATAGTCAATTCAGCAAAAGCATTCAACCTCTAGGCCAGGGCTTCCTAAACCAGGGGTTGTGACTCCATTTGGGGTTGTAAACTGGCAACTAAATGCCATGTTATGTTTTTCTTTGCGATTTTAGCACATAGGGAGGGAACATGTCAAGCTTCAGCCATTGCTTGGGGTCCTGAATGGTATGATTGTGACTTGGGGTTGCACATGTAAAAGGTTGGGAAGCCCTGCTTTAGGCTCTTTCCCTCCCTGAGAAATTAAAGAGGAAATGAACAATGTAATTCAAATTAAGAAAAAAAAAAAACATTCCAATGAGATTTAAAAAAAAGAACAGAATTGAAGTTAAAAACAAATTGCCACCAAGCTATTCCATTGTCATGAATGGTTCCTCTCTCTGCAACTCACCTTAGAGACAAGAAAATGCAAGGCTTCATCAATGCCAATGTTGTCTTTTGCAGATGTGTCAAACCACCCCAGGAATCCCTTCTCCTTGCAGAACTCCTCCATTTTTGCAGGTTCTGTCACAGTCCCTTCCTTTGGCAAATCACACTGTAAAAAACAGGGTATGAATTCATGCTTCCACAAAATGAAAACTATGAATTTGGAAGTTATAAAACTGAAAATTTGGCAATAAAAATCAGTAAAAAAAAAAAAAAAAGAGAGAGGGTTAAGGAAATGTGAAATTGGAAGAAAGGGGAGTCCTACACCTCCTACAGCAATAAAGCTTTTTTTTTTTTTTTTTTTTTTTTACCTCAAACTCTTAGTTGGAATAACTGACTGCCATAGAGTGAAAAAAGGGAAGGTGTTACCTTTAAATTTGCACACAATAATAAGAGCACATCATTTGGGAGTAAGTTCCTTAGGGGTCATGTTCTATGAAGAAATGCATGCCTTCAAGTTTTGGAATGCCCAAGTCTACTTGAACTGATTTGCAGAGATCAATCTCCAAGTCCTGGGCAGTATTGAGAAAAGGAAAAAAAGAGTGCTGCAGGGTAAGGAATAGAATACATAATAGAAGTATGACAGCTATGCAGTCACAACTGGATTGAGGAAGATTGATGGTGAAAGGTGGTATCCCAAGTATGTGCTCATATCCTTGTGCATTAGCCAGCATGAGTAAAATTACTGACTTGAAGGGAACTAAGGTAATATAACTGGTACACGGAAGCCATAGAGTTCAAACCTTCAGGAGAGGTGAGGAGAAAGAAATTACTATGCTGCAAACCTTGCAAGGGAAATTTCTGATGGATTTCAGAGAACTTGCTTGAAACAAAAAAGGATGGAGTTGCAGGTTCCATATGAAAAAGAAGCTGTAGCTGGTTTGGTATAACAATTGGTATAACCATTGCAAGACCCTCTTAATTGATAACAAAAACTCATGTGTACTCGCTATTACTGTAGCTCACAGTAGTTTTTGGCAAAACTTCATATAAATAAAAAGAATCATATGAGAGAAATAAAAATGACTCCTACACCTCCAACTGCCCCTTAGAGAGCACAATATTTGAAAATAATTCTGTAGTCAGTGACACTGCATTGGGTTAGTGGTAAGTTCCTGCAATGGGATACAACTAGATCAATCCTGCATAGAACCTCCTTTCTCATTGAAAAGGAATCAAAAACAGAGAAGGCTATCAGCTCACTTATGAAGTAAGGTATTATCATAAGACTTAAGCCTAAAAGTTTTGTAACAGGCTCTGGTTTACCTTGTTGGCAAGGAGGACACATGGGACAGGAGAGCCATCAGGAAGCTGGACTTTGCTATCCAGGTCTCGTTTCCATTTGAGCACAGCATCAAAAGTTGCTGTTCGTGTGACATCAAAGACAACAAAGCAACCAACTGCGTCCTTGTAGTAGATGCGTGTCATGTTCCCAAACCTCTCCTGCCCTTCAAAGACAGCCAGCACACAGGACAGGCTCAGTGTATTTCAGATAGTTGGTAAAGGGAAGTATGGCAGTGCACAATAGGGCAGAAGTTTCAAGCTCAACTGCATATCCATACTGCCTCTTACAGCTCTACTGAAACACCTCCAACAACATGAATGAATTAAGATGCAGTTTCACACTCATGTCCTAGAAATAACATCCTACACTGATCCAAGGTCACATGGACCTAAGACTAGGACCTAATTTAATATAGATCCTCAATGGATCCTATTTTTTGGATGCTACCTCTCACCATCTATCACTGTTTGCTGAATGGGACCAGTTTTTGCAAATGATGCAGATATCTGAAATACAGGGAAAATTGCAGCTGCTTGTAGCAACTTCATTAAAAGCAGACATTTGTAGTATCTGTGGATAGTTACCATTAATTCATTCTTAAATATACCTCTTTTAATGGTTGTATTTCATACCTACATGCATGCCTTTTTAACTAGTCAGGTGATGAGTGTGAAGCATGTTAGATGATGTAGGGGTTGCTTCTTCCACGGAAAGCTTTAACAAGTGGTTAGATGCCTTTCATGGACAAAAAAAAAGGGGAGCAATATAGCTATAAGTAACAATGGAAGATATTGAAACACTCCCACCAAAAGCATTCATCTTTAGAGGGATAGGCACATTGTAGGGGCCATGAGCCTAATCTCAACTCAAAATGTCAATGCAAGCAGAGGTGCCTCTTGATTTCCCGGCCTGAAGCTCAAGCCAGCATCTCTAATTTTGCCAAATCCCTTCCTCAGCCTTTCTCTCCCCCTCAAAAAACTAATGCACTTTTCAAGACCTAACTTTGGTCAACTCATAGGGTTCAGTTCGATGTCATGACCTGCCATTACCATCTTTCCATAACATTTCAAACTTTTCCTCCATTTTTCCTCTGTGGAAAACTCCTTTTTCCTTGACAACACCAATAGGAGTTCTTAGTCCACATTTTATTAATAAGTTTTCTCAATAGAGAAACATTCTATCCCCTAGAAACTCTGACAGATTCCATGACGCACTGCATGGAGTTTGCATGCCAAATTTCATCAATATCACTTAACTCCATGGTGGAGCAGTTTAACATTTTTGCCAGGGTAAACAATTTCAAGCACTGAAAAAGGCACATTTTCCTACCTGCAATGTCCCATAATTGCACCCTTATCAAAGTCTTATCATCCCATTCAAGTCTTTTGAGTGCAAAGTCCACTCCTATAGTTGCTCGGTAATGTTGCGAGAAGAACTGATGCACACATCTCTTGATGATAGAAGTCTTCCCTGCACCAAGTTCTCCAATGACAAGCACTTTATACAGAAATTCTTGTCGAGTCTCATCTCCACCCCTTTGACGAAGCCCCATCTGCTGTCAAAGTAGGAAGAAAAGAAAATAAAAACATTTTATAGCAATATGGTTCTAGCTACATGCTGATGATGCACATTTCTGATATTTCAATTAACTCCATGTGTTTCTAGGATTATGAACACTGAAGCTTTTCTGAGCCATTTGTTCATATGGAACACTTCAGGAGTCATCACTAGGTGGATGTAAATACAAGGGCTAATACAGTCTCATGGTAGCACAGTAAACAATACACTAGGAATATTAAAATTAAGTCTTCTCTTAATATCATAATATCACTGGAGCAAAATGAGCAGAAATATGCTATTAACATTAAGCTTTGAATTTAATATGCTGGGAGGAAAGCTATTCTAGCTCTCATCTCCCTAGCTTTTTCATATGCCCAAGCCTTTGTGTTTTCAACTAAAACTATTGAAAAATGCACCTTTTAAAATCGGCTTCATTACTGTAAATCCAGCATGCTAAATGAATTATGGACAAGTATTCTATGTCATACCTGCCAAGCAGCTATTGCAGTCTCTAAATAAAGTACAGCTGATTCTTCAGGCTGAATTTTGAATTCATGCTAATTCTTTAGCAAAGCACTTCTTGCATCATTGTTCAATTCACATCCACATTATGACTCCAATTTTGAGGTCAGAGACCTATGCGATGGAGGGGGAAATACATTGCAACAAAAGTAGCTAAAGAAAGGCATTTAAAAAATGCAGGAAAAGTTAACTACCAAACCACAAAATTATTCAATAGTAGATGTAGCAGCATATACAGATTCCTTCAAAAAGGAATATACTACTTATGAATCCAAACAATACTGTGAAAGGAAGCTTTTCCATTTTTTAAATTATTATTAAAGAGCAAAGTTAAAAGTAAGAAGATGAAAGTAGTGTGATGAAAGTAGATAGTGGTGGATATTCCACATCCACTTGCTTTGATGAGTAAGGGATCTTAAAAATGTTCCAATGTGTCAGGGGTTACTTCCCTCCATGACATAATAACCATGCTGCTTTGTTTCATTAAATTCCTTCGACTCATAATCCCACATTAACAGCCCCAGATAACTCCAGAAATTCAGTTTCTTTTCTCTGCACTCTGGAATGGTTGTACTACCATTCCAGAATATAATTGCTCATTTCATGCTCCAGACCAATAAAAAGACAGGATTCTACTTTATACAAGGATAGTCATGATTCCTCCGTTCCTGCTCAGGAGGCCTCAATCCCTCTAGGTGGAGGTGGTGCATGATGATTTCATGGTGCATGTGAAGGAGGTCTAAAAGTACAATATACACGTTTGGAAGTCCTAATGCCACCTCTGAAGCTAAAATGAATATCATATTGCTTCTTGCCCTACCATAAATCAGGAAAACGGCAGTATGCTTGGCTTATGGGCATATGATATACATGTACAAATAGATGTGCACGTCACCAAGACTGGGAAGGACTCAAGTGTGCATAGTGGTATGCAGGTGTGCACCTAACTACATTTCATCATTCATTCATTCCTTCATTTCTTGCATTGCTACAGGGACTTATTATTCTTAATTGCCCTTGTTTTGCTTCAGAATCCAAAGAATCTGATCGATGAACAGAAGGGTAGGCCTAAAGCTCATGTTTGCCCATTTCCAGCGATAGCACAAGGCAATCTCTTTGACATACGTAAGAAATGAATTTTCGAAGACCCCAGTCGTGAAACCAACGGGACCAACAAGAAAAGCAATGGAGAATAAAGTAAAGGAAGATGAGTGACCACGTGGCGATTGCACTATGGGCGCCGCCATATTTCCTCTCTATCCTTACATAGGAGACAATAGGCTTTTTTCCAGGTCGCTTACAACTGCTGGCAGAAAAAGACGCGTCTTTTCGTCAGCACTTGACACGACCGAGTCATTAAATGACGTGACTCTCGGGCAAGCAGCCGTCAGCGAAACATAGCGAATTACGAGAGCGCTGAACAGGCCAGCACGAATGCGACGTCATGGGATGCTGGTGCGTCAGCGAAGCCAACAGATCCGCTTAGAAAAAAGATGCACGCAATAAAGACAGGATTCATCGAAGGAGTACATTCGTATTCGTTGCGTCCATCACAAGACACCTTTCCGATGAGGTTAAGAGCCGACTGGTTCGTCCAGCCTTTGCGAGTTTATCTCGGTAAAGAGTTTTCTTGGTTCCTCGTTACTGAGTTTTGATATTGAAATCGGAGACTCGATTTCGCTCCGGCTGCAGTCCATTCGGATTCCGAACGATCCGGCGCAATCGAAAGCTCCTTTCGAGATCGAGCCGATGGGACTGCATCGTCGGCAGAGAAAAATATTTGAAACGCGATATCGGGGACGTCGGACCCCCTTCGAAGCCCACCCTGTACCTACGGATCCCTTCCGTTTTCGCGAGGAACGAAGGAAAGAGAAAGAACGCACGAGGAAACGGCCTGCAGTAGATACTCGATGCAGTGCTCCTTCCACGCATCCTTTCGAGGTCCACGAAGCACAAAAAAAAGGAGCATCGTCCTCGGAGATCCCCGGTTCTTTGTGAAAAATCGGGCCGATGCTCTCACGCGCGTACTCGTCGATGCAAACGAGTAAGATAAACCAGGCAGAAGCTTTACCTCTCCCTCTCTGATGCCGTCGGACCATCTTGTCGCCTCCCGATGATGCACATCCCAACGACAGAATGCACGACTCGTCGAAATGTAACAGGGGGGGGGGGGGAACTGACGAGTAGCGAGAAACGAACCCGTTACTTCTTGCAGAAAGTTGTCTGTAACGAGGTACCATTTAACAGTCACGAGTAACTTTCGAAAAGTAACTTTTTATCTCGTCACTGCTCGGCGAATCGTAAGCGACGTGTCCGCTTTCGGACTTTCGAGTCGGCAGGTATCTTCGAACCGGGAGACGACATGCACTCGACGAAACCGACACTCGCGAGGTCGATCGTCGGTGTCGCTACGTCCGAACGCTTCGCGTGCGAACGAATTTATTGACGGGCACGTGCTAGATACCGGGATCGACCCATCGTCCACGGATGGTCGTTCCCGAGAGGAAAACGACGGAATCGCGCCCCGTACTCTCACGAGGAGAGACCCCGAGACCGAGGGAAATCGTTCGGCTCCCTTCTTCATCGAGAAGGAAACGATGCCTGCCTGACGATGGGGAACCCTAAACCTTACGTACGGGTTTTCTTCGAAAAGAAAGGCGAAGCGGATCGGGAGGGGCGACGCCGACATTCTGTTACGACCGAAGCGCGAACATCTGCCGGCAGATGTTCGCGTTCCGATCGACGCGACGGCGTTTCGCTCGCCTGGAAGCGACGAGAATCGCTCGGAGCGATGGTTTCCTCGGAACGGACCCCGAGTCCCGCTTCCTTCGTCCCGCTCGCGTCTCGGGCGCGGAGAGACGAAATCGTCCCACCGACTATTTCCACGCGGAAGCCGTCGATCCGATCATTTTCACCGGAAACGGGACGAGGGAGCGAGGCGGGACTCTGCCGTCGTCGGCAGCCGATGGGCGATGCCGCATCGGTACCGTCGTACGGGAAGTCGGTCGCGGGAACCCCCTCGGCCTCCGAGAACGACGAGGAGTTCGCAAGGGGCGGAATTCCGTCCGTCCCGAAAGGGATGCGTGAGCTGATTCCACTGGAACCGGAGTCGCACACGAAGTCGTGGCCGGTCGTGCCGGAGACTGAGGGTGTCTGCGGAAACAGGGATAGGGGGAGGGGAGGGGGGAGGGGGGGGGGGGGGGGGTCGGCGACTGGGGAAGCTGCTGCCAAGGCCATCGCATTGGCCTCGGGATCCGGCTCGGGCTCTCCCCATGCCATCAGCACACCACATAATAGCACCAACGCGCACACCTAAGAGATGCCAATAGGGGGGGGGGGGGGGGGGGGGGGGGGGGGGGGGGGGGGGGCAGCGGAGACGAGCAAAAACAAATGCGACTCTGACGGACCGCCTCCAAAACCGAAAAAAAAAAATTTCTGCGTAACGTCATGCGGTGTCGTGCGAATAGACCCGTGCAAACACCTCGTTTCGATGCACTTCATTTTTATTTTTTTCGCGTCTAGGTCGTGTTTCTCGTCCCGATCCGTGCATGCACCGTATACTCTTCGTCGATGGATCGCCTTTTCCGAGACGAGAATCCTCTCTCTCCGTCCCTCTCCGTCGAGAACCGTTGGAAATTCGGCTCCGAGCGCTCTCATTCGCGTTCGTCGAGATCAGATAAACGGAGGAGGTCAAGGACCCCACCCTCCCCCTCCCCCTCCCCCTTCGCCCGTTGGTTGCGTCTCGGAGGGCAAAAATGCACTGGGGCGAAAGTGGAAAACTCCACGGTCCACGTTTCCTCGAGGATTTCCTGCTCGGATTCTTACGGGGAAATCGGTTCCAATTCGATGGGCCTTCTTCCCCGAATGGAAAAGAATCCCCGGGATATCCGGGTCCGATCATCCCAAAGTGATTCTTTTTTTACGGGTCTACCATCATTTTACGGGACTACCGTCTCGTTGTTCCCCTTTATTTTTCCCAAAAGGTATCTCGAGAACGACCGCACGGCCGAGAGTTTCGCTTCTCGCGATCGCCGACTTCCGAAGGGAGCAATTTTCAACACTCGAGGGCAAAAAAAAAAAATTGGCATTTTAAAAGGATACCGCCGAAATACGACGAGCCGAAACTCGTGAAATCACGACCCGATTTTCATGGATCCACTCGATTAGAAAGAGGAGCGAAAATCTGGTAAATCGCGTTTTGGTAAAGGATGTCTCATTTTTATCGATATATTTTTGGTACTCGTCGTCTCGGGATGCCGACCGAAAACGGGCAAAGTGGGAAAACGTTCTTTGCAGACTCGAGGTAGAGGGCGCCGAAGTCGTTAAGATGTGGACATTTTCTGAAATCGAGAGTCGCTCGTCCCCGGAAGTCGAAACGAAGAAAGAACCGTAAGTGGCCCGAGATCGAGGGGGGTAAGATCTTGCGCGTGTGATGACGTCGGCGAAACGTTCCGCTACGAAAGCGGGCGCTTCGCACTTCCCCTAGTGACCCCTGGCCTGACGACACCACCTGATGGCTGGCCGCGGACCCACCCGACCCCAAGACCTCCACTCCGTCGTCGCAACCCCAAGACATCACTTCGACTCCAACCGAAGACGAACTACCTCTCTATATACGAACTACCTCTCAATCCCCCGATTGTATATTTCATTTCACCCCACCTCGTATCCTCTTTCCGTAAAGGACATGCTGTACAAATAAATGGTCGTTGAACCTTGACGATATGATATCGTCAAGGTTCAACGACCATTTATTAACGACCAGAGTATCTCGCTGCTCGAGGCCGAGACAGGTCGCACACGCTTTCTCGTGTCTCTCACACCCGTAATACATCGCTCTCGTCTGTCAGAACCACCATCGTACATATATTGCCGACCCGTTCGCCGATTTCGATGATATTCTTAGGTTCCTTTATTTCGTTCACTCTCTCGGTAGCAGTCGTTACGAAGGACAGTGGGAAGGATTTCATCGTCGCATCCTCGAAGAATATTTATAGGACTCGGCAGGCACGAAATATTTCCTTTCGTGAATTTCCAAAATTCACGAAAATTCCAAAATTCAGACAGAGAAAAGGAATGGCTTCGATCGCTTGGAAGAAAATCTATCCCCAGATACTGTATGCTTTAGTGTGCTCGCATCCCTTCTCCTTAGATTTCTATCATGATCGAAGCGCTCTAAGGAGCTGGAAAAAAGATGCCGTTCCAACAGAGAATCTGGCCGAAGAACCAACGCAACCTCCCTCGTTCACGTTCCGCGTCTAATGGATATTTTTTTTACCGTTTGGCGGTCCGACGATTTCTTTCAACCAATGAAGGACTAGCAGGTCTCCTCAACTGGATACAATGACATAAAATCATCGTACCGGATGACCATGAATTCTCATCTCTTAGAGGTAGAAATCCTTCGTCAGAAGCCGAAGAGAGCACAGGAGATGATGAAGCTGAGATAAATTATTTTCTCTCAGGTGATGCAAATGAGGAACGTTCGTCGAAGGTCTCCAAGGAAATGTGTCTATGATTCAAAAACTCGTTCACAAAGGAGTATTCACAAATACTCAATTGTGAAATAAGGTATGAATT